AAGTGACTTCCTTATATAATAAAGTGAGATGGTTAATATTTCTCACATGAGTAATGTGGGACTAAATGAATTTTTTTTTTTTAATTCAATATGGAACATGGACATGTTCCAACAATCCCCCACTTGAATTTAAAAGGTGAATTTGGAAGTAACGTCAAACGTTTCTAAGATTGTGCATAAACAAAGGTGTCCACGACTTGAACCTTTGCATAGCAAGTAGGATTCCGATTCAACAAGAGTGACACAAATGTCTTGAACTCTATCTCAGACATCAAACCCACACACAACCTTTTCTTAAGGTGTATTCTAATAGCCCGTACTTTAATGGCCCTGCACGTGTATCCCGGTTTAGTGAATGCTCTAGGAATCCTGCCTCGAAATTCCATAGGAACTGGCCTAAGTTCCACAATCACATAGGTGAGTCTATCAAGAGTACTCCTGTAGCCTAGGTACTCCCTCATACAGAGTATAGATTTCATTAAGAGTTTCTATTATCTCATCCTCTAATTACTTCAGGATTCATGCTTTACTTGCATGATAATCTCATATTACTCATAACTTGTTATTACCCATTGAACCTATTTCTTGGGATCTCCAGTCATTTAGGTCGGGTTACCATCATGAGAAACTCATTTCTATATAGGCATTAGTCTCATGATATATTATAGACTTTCTCTCTAGCTAATCCTTTCGTCAAAGGATATGCTAAATTTTCATCGGTGTGTACATGATCCACTCTTACAACTCCTTTAGAGATATAATCTCTAACAGTGTTGTTCGTTCTTCTAATTTGACGTCTTTTACCATTATAATAATGGTTCTCAGTTTTTGCAATAGCCGCGGTACTATCGCAGTGGATCAACACAACTGGCATGGATTTTTCCCATAAGGAAATCTTAGTTAGCAGGCATATTTTAACTAACTTTCTTCTTCACTAGCATTCGCTAACGTTATCATATCAGACTCCATTATGGAATGAGCCATGATACTTCGTTTCCTTGATTTCTAAGGTACAACTCCTTTAGCTATGGAATACATAGCCACTAGTTGCTTTGGAATCATCTAATAATATGTTCCAATCTGCATCACTGTACCCTTCAAGTACAGCCAGAAATTTCTGATAATGTAAACTGAGATATATGGTCCTTTTAAGGTACCTCATGACTCGCTTAATAGCTTGTCAATGCTCGTAACTCGGTTTACTCGTAAACCTGCACAATAATCCCACTGCATATGCAATGTCGGATCTAGTATAATCAGTGACATACCTAAGATTGCCAATGATGCTCGCATATTTTGTTTGTCTAACACTTTCACCAGTGTTCTTAAACAGTTTCACACTTGGATCATAAGGTGTGCACCCAAGTTTACAGTCGAAGTAATTATACTTCTTTAAGATCTTTTCCACATAGTGTGATTGATCCAAGGAGATGCCTTGTTCTGATCTCGTGATCTTGATACCAAGGATCATACTTGCTTCACCGAGATCTTTCATATCAAAGTTGTTGCACAACAATGATTTCACTTCATTGATGGTCTGAATGTTTGACCCAAATATGAATAGGTCGTCTACATAGAGACATATGATAGTGCAAATGTGATTCTCATATTTGTAATAAACACATTTGTCACTTTCATTCATCTTATACCCATTTGATATCATTAAGTTGTCAAACTTTTCATGTCATTGCTTCCGAGCTTGCTTCAGCTCATACAAAGACTTGTCTAACTTACAGACCTTGTTTTCTGGTCCATGGATCACAAAGCCTTCCGGTTGTTCCATATAGATTTCTTCTTCTAATTCACCATTGAAAAAAGTTGTCTTAACATCCATTTGGTGTACTATTAAACTATAAATAGCAGCTATTGAGATAAGTACCCTAATGGATGTTATTCTGGTGACCGGAGAAAAAGTGTCGAAGAAATCTATATTCTCTCTTTGTCTAAAACCCTTGGCTACAAGGCGAGCCTTGTATTTATCAACAGTTCCATCAGGTTTTAGTTTCTTTTTCAAAACTCATTTACAACCGATTGGTTTGCATCCAGGAGGCAAGTCTACTGAGTGACAGATCTTGTTAGATTCTAGAGAATCTATCTCATCATTAATAGCTTCTTGCCAGATATCTGCATCCAGAGATGACAAGGCTTCTTGAAGATTCATTGGATCTTCCTCTACATTATAGGTCGCATAATTCTTCCCATAGTCTTTAGAAACTCTTACTCTTTTACTTCTTCGAAGTTCTGTTTCTACATCGTCGTTGCTTTTTGTGCTTCTTATCACATGAATGTGACTCGATTGAGTGCCCCCACTATTTCTCGATTTGAAAGGAAAATTTTTTTTCTTCATAGAATTCAACATCATTTGATTCTATGATCACTTTTGCATTTAGGTCATAGAACCTATATGCCTCACTGTTTGCTTCACACCTAATGAACACACATTCATAGGCTCTATTAGCAAGTTTAACTCGCTTCGTATCCTGAATTATGACATATGCCAGACAAACCCAAGTTCTTAAATAAGACAATTTTGGTTGTCTTTTCTTTAATATCTCATAAGGAGAGATATTACTTTTTAACTTGGGAACTCGATTCAGGACATAGCAAATAGTCAACAAAATTTCCCCCACCAGTGAGAAGCAACACCAAAATTTAATATAATTGCAACAACAAGTTCAATAAGAGTTATATTCTTTCTTTCTGCTTTACCATTCATTTCAAAAGAGTATGGTGCAGTCATTTCATGTACAATTCCATGTATAAAATTCATCAAACAAACTAGAATCATATTCAGTTCTCCTATCACTACGAAGTCTCTTAATCTTCTTACTAAGTTGATTCTCAGTTTCAGTTACATACATCTTAAACATGTGAAGTGCTTCATTTTTATTCTTCATTAAATATACATAAGTATAATCAGAATAATAGTCAATAAAATAACATTTACTATTTCTAGTTAAAGTTCCATGTAATTCACATATACCATAGTGTATAAGGTCTAGGGGATCAGATCCTTTAATAATTGATTTTTAAATTCTTTACAAAGTTTTTAAACATATCAATTTCATTCACAAAAATGTCATCCTTTGTAATGGTGTACAAATCTACCCCAATGGACTGACTAAACTATGCCTTATATAAAAGAAAACCAGAAACAAAATTCTTCCTAATCTCAAGAACATGTATGACGTCCTTCGAGATTAAAGTCTTTCTGGAGGTGAAATTCAACTCCATTTCTCCAATTCTAGCAACATTAGTGGTGTGGACATATCCCAACAACACTTTCTTATCTTTAGTATTCGCGTATGTTTTAAACATAACACGATCATAACAGACACGATGAGAAACACCAGTGTATATCCACCAATCATCAAATTCATCAACCGTGTTGATTTCAATTATCATAGAAATAAATTTCCCATTAGTCAGTTTGACCTATGCATTAGGGGTAGCACCAGGTTCAAGCCTCTTCTACATTTCTTAATCTTATGACATTATTTTCCATGGTTAAAACAATGGAAAACAATCATTTCTTTGAGGTGGTGATTGTTGCCTAGTTGGAGCAATTGAGACCATAGAAAGGATCTCATTCTTAATTCGGATCACAACATTGCAGTTCTGATTCTTTAATCATTTTCCAAATGGCTTCAGAACTACACCGAATTTTTTATTTGTTGTTTAAAACAACCAAGACTTTTCTTCTTGATATTGTCTCTAAGATTCCTCTTTTTTTAACTCAAGGAGAATAATCAGATTCTAAAAAATACATCTAAATACATACCTTTAGTGATGACCTCATGAGAATTCCTTTTGAAGTTCATAACTTTGAGTATCCACAGATCTTTCATCTACCATCTGATACTTTTCGTAGTTGCTAAAATCATTCTTTTGTTCTCCAGCTTCTTCAATACTTGTTTTTCATAGCCTCGTAAACTTGTTTTGGAGTATCGCAATTATTGTAATAATCATATAGATCATTTGCGAGTCCATTTAGAATGTTATAATCATTCTCTTTCTATAAGGAGATTTCTTCCTTTAGCTGTAAATCCTTCTCTTTAATCTATGTTGTAAATTCAGATTCATTGAAATTTTAATAATTCAATCTAAGTTCATAGATTTCTTTCTATTCGTTTGTTCAACTGATCCAAGTGGAACAGTAGGAATGTCATCGGTCAAAATATTGACAAACTTCTTTATGGTTTGGAAAAACCTCACTTTTGTTGCCAACTTTTGAAATGCACTCCTTCAAACTAGAACGGTTTGTCCGAGACAATTTTAGAAGTACCGATAATTTCTTCAATAGCCATGGCAGTTTGAAACGTCTTAAAATTGTTGATTCATGATTTTAAAAATGTTGCCACTGAAGAAATTACCGGGTTGAGTCGCGGATCAGTTCGCTCTCTTTAAGACGTTTCGCGGTACTGCCCAAAATTATGCAAAGCAGTCGAACTACCACGCCGCCTCCAGGATAAAACAGCCCAGTTCTATACTGTACGATTACTACTTGCACGATAGATAATCGGTCTAGATGGTATAAATACCACCGTAGTATCTGATATATTTACCAGTCATAAATATTTCTCAAACCAAGAGAAATTTCAATAATTCTTCAAAGAGAATTCAATAATGATCATTTTTGATCACTCAAAGATTTCTCAAACAAAGAGAAATTCGAATAATTCTCTAAAGAGAATAAAAAAATTATACTTGAAAATTTCTCAACTCAAACGAGGAGAAATTAACATTATTCTCTATAAAGAGAATTCAAGAAAATACTCGGAAAATTCAACGAGTAGAAAGAAAGGGGAAGAAGTTGGCGCTTCGACAATTCGAAAGACGCAGAGTTATGAGAGTGAGGAAGGAAAAACTAATAAAATGTTTTTGGTGTATTTTGTAAGGAAACAAGTGACTTCCTTATATAATAAAGTGAGATGGTTAATATTTCTCACATGAGTAATGTGGGACTAAATGAATTTTTTTTTTTTAATTCAATATGGAACATGGACATGTTCCAACACAAACAACGGAAACGTCTCTGGCTGGGAACATTTAACTCCGCTGAAGAAGCTGCCGCCGAGTACGACAGAGTTGCTGTCTCGCTCAGAGGTCCTCACGCTGTCACCAACTTTCCTATTTTACCGGCGAAGGTGGAAACTCAAGTACCACCGCCGCTGAATGGCGGAAATTACGGGTCTGTTTACATTCTAAAAACATTTTGAGTAACATCTGCTTTATTTGCAGGATATGATTTGTTGGTTCAGTAGGTTGATAATGTTGGAGAAAATGATTGCTAGCAAGAAGCTATACATTCTCAGGATCTTTGTTTAGGAGTTTGTTACTCTTATTTCATATACAATGTATTCTTTGTTAACTCTTGTCTCACAACATGTTTTCATTAAAGTTACAACCATCAAATCAGCATTTAAAATCTTGAATTTCCTCATGAAAGGATCAAAGGAATGCAAGCATTGAATATGGTTAGAGAATTTGAGATTCTAAGATATAGGTGATTTTACTTTGAAAGCTCTCCTTTATGTAAGAAGAGCTCGTGAATTGCTTAAGTTTCCAGATATGTCTGTCACCTTGGAGAACTAGAAGAGGTAAGTGTTTATTTAAAAACTAAAAGGGTGTGACTGTTATTTAAAAAGATATAATTTTCATATAAATTGTAATGAAAAAAGGATATATGTCCCACCTAATATTTTGTGCAATGCCATCCAACTAAAACTTTTCTAGATAAGAGATAACACTCAATTATAAGTTATAAAACAAAACTATTCATACTAGACTAGTATTTTAGTCTTAACTTTTCAGTAGCTCATTTTTTACTTCCTTGTCTAGTTATGTTTTTTTCTCTTTTGCAGTAATAATATTTTGACTGGTAATTTGCACCTGTTGGTGGGGATCCCCGCAGGTATTCTCCTTTGGGGCTCCAAAGATGGAGAATTTTTCTTCCGTGGACGGTGATGGGGAATAAAATTTCTCCGAAGACATTTTGAGAATGAGGATGACAAACATATCTTCGTCCCGTGGAGTCTCTGCCCCACACTAGAATTCCATAATATCGTTAATTAATATATAATTAATTTAACATTTCTATGTAGGTTTATTTATAATTTCAAATAACTTATTTTAATAAACAAATCTAAAAGACATATATAATTTTAGTAAAAAAGAGAGATCTAATGACAATTTTAATTTTTATAAAGTTTGAAAATTTTGTGTTCATGAATCTCAAGATTAAATATTATTAAAACAATATATTTATCGTAGATGATTAGTTTATTAATTTTTTGTGGTTAGCTTTTGAATTTTTTCTATTAATTTAATTTAAAATGATAAATAAAAATTTATGTTTATAGATATCCGTAGAAATCGTGAGGATCCGTGGGGATCTGCGGGGACGGGGATGAGGGACAAAATCCCCCTGTGACGTGGATCCGATACGGGGATGGGGAGTAAATTCGAGGACGGGAATTGATATCAGAATGTATTACCCCGCTCCGCTTCGCCCCATTGACATCCCTAGCTATGTATGTTGCGAAAGAGGAGTGTGTAGCAGTTGACTCTCATACTAGGAATATACCTGAACATATTAGAGATAATTGTACAGATAAAGCTTTGTTATCCAACTCAAGAGGTTTGAGAACTATCTTATTTCCCATCCAAGGGGTGAGCTTTAACAGCGAAACTTTGTTGGAAAGTAATTCATTTCAAAAACTGTTGATTAGAATCAAAAGCTTTTGATGTTGTTAGTCAGAAGCAGTGTTGTTCAGAAGCAAAAAAGCTTCTGAAGTTGTTAGTCAGAAGTTGTTATCAGTCAGATGCAAAAGCTTTTGAGGTTACGCTCAGAAGTATGCTCAACTTCTGAGATTCTGGAGCTGAGTTTGTTAGCGTAGCAGTCAAGTTTAATATTTCCTAGTTTGTACCTTTAAACTTAGTCATTAAGTTTACTTTTATTAGGACCTACGTGACAATTTACTTTGTGTATAAATAGACTAGTAATAGCTGTCATTTGTAACAGTAACAACAACAACATTTATTCCTCTTGCAGTTTTACAGCCGTCATTCTCTACTCTCTTAAATATATTTCTTTGTTCATCATTGATTCTTGTGCACTAACATTGTTGAATACATGGATATCAAGATACAAATACTTACGATATTTAGATTTAAGTGTTTATTTAGATTTAAGTGTTTATTCCTTTGAGACGCTGCTTTGTTCAATTTCTGAATTGGAGCACTTGTGAGTTCTCTGATAATAAGAATATCAAAAGACTTCCCCCATTTTATTTGCAAACTCCATTATTTGCAAGTCTTGAAACTCATAGGATGCACAGAGCTTGAAACTCAAGGGTTAGGGTGGTTGATTAGCCTTCGAGAATTGTATGTAACCACAAAGCAGTCAGGTATGACTGACAGAACTTGCAAACATGAACGGTCTTCAAGTTTTGCACATCTATAAGTGTAACAACATGAAGTTTCTATTCAACGAGGCACCACAACTCACTTCCCTTCAAGGATTGAATGTTTAATCATGTGGTAGCCTAGACTCCTTACCTCTCTTCATTTTTCCTAAATTACAAGATCTTTCAATTTTAGATTGTCCGTTGTACAACGAAAGGCCAATCAGAAAATTGATGATGAAACATTTATATATTGGAGAATTTTGTGGGCTTCTGACAATTCCTAGTTGGATTGAAGGTGTTGTAGAGACTTTAGGGACACTGGAATTTTCTTCACTTCCCCATCTTAAAACCCTTCTTCCTGAGTGTCTAACAACAATGACTCATCTTAAAAAACTTCGGATTTTGTACTGCTTTCAATTGTTGAGTCTTCCAAGTGACTTCCATCAACTTACTTCCCTTGAAGATTTATTCATACATGGTTGTCCTAAGTTGTTCCAAAAATATCAGCCTGAGTCTGGTGAGTATTGATCGCATGAAAATCACTTCGATTGCAATTCTACAAGAAGTGGTGTAGGAATGAAGTTGTTTACCCTTGAAGGTAATATAAGATTTTGTCACTTCCATTATCTCTTTTTAAGTTTGGGCTAAATATCATTCCTTTTAATTTGATATATCTCATTCTCATCCCCAAACGTAATGTTCAAATGCTTTTTATGTTGCGCACCAGAAATGTTCCCATTTTATTTTATATTGTTTTGTATCAGATAAGTGTTGGTTTCACCTCCTAAAATATTTTCTTGTTTGAAGACCTAAAGTTAAACTGCAATTGGAAATCTATATACAATGGTATTGTAATTTGTATGATCTTACGAACACTGAAATGGAGCTAATAAGCTACCATGATGACACCTTATAATGGCATCACCTAGTTTAGTGTGCTTTATATGTTTGCTGTGTAGTTAGTTACCTATTAGTTATTTCCAAGAGTTGTTGCGAGATTACTGTTTGTTATTTCTATGCTTTGTTTGAGACTAAAGTTTCCTTTATTTACATGGCAAGGTTGATGATGAGGCGAGCATGGAAAATGGAGACACATAGCAAAGAAGTTTAGTAGTTGATTGCATTGCATTGGAGAAAATGAATCTCAACAAGATTCTTCAGATTCTCAAAATGTTTTCAGCTTTATGTTTGTAGCCAAAGAATTGAAAGTGATTATTTTATATTGATTTATGTTTGAAATAGCATTTGTGTTGAACTAAAGTTCTTGTTTCATAATGTATGTTGTTGAATATTTGGTGAAATAATCAAACTAGCTTCTTAGACAACAAGTTATGAAGTATGAATATATTCACTGTAAGTATTCATGCCAATCTTGTCAATTGGGTATATAATTTGTGGTTATTGTTGCTAATGTTTTCTGTCCTAGAATGGCATACCAAATCAAAGAGATTAGGGAAAGATTGGATAAGATAGCAGCCGACGGGACCAAGTTTGGTCTTGCAAATATTGATGTTGGTCCTCAACTTGTTATACAAAGGAGAGAATTGACTCATTCCCATGTTGACACTTCAAGTGTAATTGGACGAGAGAATGATGGGAAAAAATTATTAAGCTTTTGATGCAACTGGAATGATCAAAGTTTGTGTGTTATTCCCATAGTAGGAATTGGAGGTTTGGGAAAGACCACACTTGCAAAGTTGGTGTTTAATGATAAGAGGATAGATCAACTTTTCCAGTTAAAGATGGGTGCTTGTATCTCTTACTTATGATTTTGACATCAAGAAAATAATTAGAGAATTTTTTTGTTCACTTCTATATGTTTCTATATGTTGAGTTAAATTTCTGAAAATTCGAAACTATCTTTTGGATGTATATATCTGAACGAACCATTTAGCATGTTTTGGATATACACATCCGAAGTCACCCTGCGACTATGTCAACAGATGTTTCGGATATGCATATCTGAAACATTGTCTATTTGTGTTATTTTTGTTTAAAACATCATCATTACCACTATCTAATAAATGGACAAATGGACAAACATAAAATGATACGACTTGGACGAAAAATGAAATGAACATAATAATTAGATTAGATGTTCAAAAATAGGGAAACATAATATAATACATAAGTTGTTCAGAAAGTGCGTAATGTCAAAATATTACATCGGTAAAAATAAATAAATAAAACATAGGCTACTGTGTATGCCTAATTCTAACCCCCTGTAACCTCCTCTGCCTCTTATGCCTCCGACTCAAGAATGTGTATCCGCTGATGGATCGGCGGGACATCAGTAGCATGGTCATCATCGGCCTGCTGATTCTCCAAGAGCTCCTTGTGAGTTGGCCTAGGTGATCGTCATGGACCATCCGGTGTCATGATAGGGTGTGACACATTAAAGAACCATGTCACGTATCCCTTTATACAATGCCAACTCTGGCATGTCCGCATCATCTGATACTCATGTGGCATCAAATAATTCTCTCAATCCTGAAAGATATCAAAGAGATCTCGACGAACAATGGTGTCGAGAGCAACCTGAAACAGAGATCTGGATATCATCTACACAAAGGCAAACTATCGCATGCACCGCTCCGGAAGATACCTGACCATCATGTTAGTCCCACATGCAAGCCACCATGAGTATAATGAGATGGGATCGAAGGGGACAACATTCATGTGATCCTTGAATGGCGTCCATTTGATGTCATCATGATTAGTACGATCAAGATACACCCAGTAAGGCGACACTTTATGATTCCCTTTGTGGAGGACATACTTTGCAGCCCTCAGCATGTCGTCAGTAAAGCCAGATCAGGCTCGAAACTATGAATATGGTGGAAGTGAGAGATGATCCAGCTCTGAAACACAAATCAGAGAATATATAAGTAAAAATTATAAAAAAACAAGTTAAATGTAATAGTTGGAATGAAAGGTATCGTGAGGAGTGTGCAAGAGCCAGTGAGTTGCCTCGTGATAGCGTGAAAACGCATCATGTTTTTAGACTCGTTTAGCATATGATTTACCATTATTTTGCTATGTTTCACTGCTTTTATGTCTCGTTATGTTTGCATTTCAGGTAATTGTGATTTGTGGAGCATATGTGCTTAAAAAGAGGAAAAGGGAGCAAAATGGTGAAGAAAAGAACAAAAATACAAGATTCTGGTGTGTGGCGTTCGCCATGGCCCAAATGGCGTCCGCCATCACACTAGCCACGTCACCAGAGCCCACTAAAGCTCATGGAGTTAGCCATGAGCATAATAGCATCCACCATTTGACCCCAGTAACATAAACGTGGGAATGGGGTGGACTCACTCCTTCCCACTTCCCTATTTTTTTCTCTAACTTTGGTTGCATGTGAAGAAGAAGTTAGGCATCACTGTAACCCTATATAATTCACATTTGTACCTAGTTTTAGGCATCCATGATTAGAGGCAAAGCTCTGTCGAATTGAAAGCTTAGTTTTACTGTTTGTACTTTTGGATCACAATCTTGTCTACGTACCACCTTCTGTGTAATAGGGAATCAGAGAACTCGTAGTTCACCTCAAAATTTTTAAAACACATGTGTGTTGATTAATTTTAAGATAAGAGACATCATCGTCATATCCGAGTGAAAAATATATTTACTATCCACAATTATGAGAAAGAAGAATTTGCATCATCTCAAAGTGGAGAATATAGTTTGAATTTTAAAATCAACAAAGTATCACTCAACACCCAAGTGTAAAATATCTCATTTTACTACGCATCGAAGAAGTATTGTAGCTCACATCATTACACGGATCAACAAGAGTCTAATCTTTTTGATAAAAAAGTTTAAAGTAAAAAATCAAAGTGACAAAATGATTTGAATGTGGTTAATTGAATTTTAGTCTTGTAATCAAATAATTACTAACATTATGTATAACAGAGAGAGAAAGAATAGCCCAAAGTCTCCTTCATTATATTATTCAGTATCGAAAAAGAAAACAAAAAAGCAGAACTGAACGATCTTCTTCTTCTCCATATCTCATTTCTTTTCAAAAACACAGTCCCTTTTCAAGCAAAACAAAACCCATAAATTCCAAACCAAATCTAGATATCTCAATTAAAAAGAACAGAGCGGTCGGGTCGGGTCGCTGCAGATCTATTGTGGTTGTACCAGAGTTAGTCGAAAACGGAACTCGAAGGGGTCAGAAGGAATTGGCGTGAGCCACAAAAAAATAATTGACGAGAAACAGTAAGATTTACACATTAATTTCTACTTCTTAGCTTATCGTTTTCTTTTTATTTATTTTGTGTTGCTATGTTGTTACAAGCAGATCCGCGGCTAATTCGTGAGACAGAGACGGCAACCGCAATCTCTTCTCTTTCTTGCATATTTTTGGATCTGTTTGACATTACCTTGTATATTGAAACTATTCGTATCATGTGTGTTTTTGTTCATAGTGGATTTGGGTGTTGTTGTAATTGTGGTTATTGGATGGAAATTTGTACCGTGGACAGTAGTGAAATGTGAATGACCTGTAGAATTGGTAAAAATATATACAAACATGGTTTTGTGATAGAGAGGAAATAAGGGTTAGAAAAAATTGCATAAACAATGTGTATCGGTTGTGGTTGAAACATTGGCCTATGTGGAAGAAGTTTGTATTGGTTCTTTCTTGTTAAAAAAATGTTAGTAATAATTGTGTGTAAATTATGTATGAACAAATTGTAAATATAGTAGGATAGAAATTGTTAGCGTGTACAAGAATGTGTGTGAATCCCACGTGTGAATGTAATTGATAGTATAAAACTAAAACCATCAATTTAAAATCATATGGTAAAAAGCAATAAATTTAAAGGATGATATTAAAAATAAAAAAGTGGTCTCATAGGTTAATCATTGGTCAAAACTAAATAAATTTAAAAAGGTTTTGAAAAAATGGAATTGTAAAAAGTAGTGATGAAAATGAGTGAGTGAAAATTTTTAAGATTGTTGATGAATTGGGGGTGAATTGTGTGTGAGAATTTTGTGAATATTGTGGATGAAAAATTAGAAAAAACTAAGGCCCTATTTATATAGTGAATTAAGTTTAAAAAAACTTAGAGACTAAGTTATCCAAGAGCCCAAAAGAAAGTCTAAAGTTTGATCTTCAAAAAAGGGAAGAAAATTAGTAAAAATAAGAAAAAATGTTTAAAAGTACAACACAAAAGATTCAAGTCCGCAACCTCATACTTGCAAGCTTTATTCTTTACCAACTGTGTGTTGGCTGAAGATTTTGATAATATTATTAGAAGCCAAATGAATTGAACGTTTCGATCGAAATGAAGTAAAACGTCATGTTTCGAAGTAGCAGAAGCAGTGTTTCGAATAAGCATGTCAAAGCTGGAGCTTCGAGTGGCAATTATGGGAACATATCTAAAGAAGTCTCGAAATAACAACAAGGCTGTGTCTGGGAAGTACGTTCGAAACGGAGAAGTACCAAAGCATTTGAAATTCAAATGGAAGCGGGACATTCGAAGTTTGAAATTTATGTGCTGGAGCATTTGGAGACACGTGGAAAGAAGAAAGAGGCATTGTTCCGCATGTTCTGAACGTGGCATAATCCTATAGCAAGACCGTTATGGTCGAATTAGTATAAATAGAAGTCTTAATATTAGGATTTCGTGTGTCATATCTATTGTACTAAATACTCAGTAACATTCAAACTACCACATGGCAAGGGAAACGAATGCAAGAGAAATGTACGTATGATAGCACCATGTATTTCTGATTTAATGAAAACCTTTTACTATTTCCAGCACTTTCCTTTATCTTTCTGTCAAACAACATTTACAAGTTTTCTCATTTACAGTCTTTTCACTTCGAAATCTCTTCTTTAAAGTTTTACATTTTAATGCTTTAATTACATTTCAAGCACTTTACATTTCAGAAAACTGTCATCTTTTCCATACCTTTACCTTCAAGTCTTATCCTTCGAACGCATATTTTTACTTGAAGTCATTTACAGATTTCTTGCATTAAACGCTTTCTTCATATTTCAAACCTTTTACGTTCCAGAAATCCTTTACATTAACTGTTTTTATAATTCGAAACCATTTACTTGCCTTTTATGCAATTTTACATGTCTTTACAATTAACATTTATTCATGCAACTTAGTTTCGTACACGCACATTTTGATTACATCTTTAGACCTTTTGAGAGAGAAATCGAAATAAGCCAAACGTATATACAACACTCAAATATCAACCATGAATATTTGTTCGATCATGAGAGTAACCTTAATGTCCAAGGAATCCTAGGATCAATCTAGTCGATCCTGTGAGTTACCAGAGGAATTGAATAACAGTCAGAAAGATTATTCGATAGTTTGGAAGACTAGCGGTTGTTTACCAGAAATTACTGGAAACACTGTGTTATGTTACTTATTTGAAATAAAAGCCAGTTGAAAGTACATGAAGATGAGAAGGTATTTGTTTATTCAAAAATACAAATAATCTTGAAATAAATTTATTATATTTTTAAATAGGTTTGGAAGCGAATATTTATAAAAATCAAGGAGTATTTATAAAACTAATGTTTAAGAATATTTTTTACTGTAGAAATAAAGGACGGACAAATTTAGGGTATGACATATGGGCAGAGTTTTGAAGGATGCGTATCGAACCTAGAAATGGTACTTGAGAGATGCGTAAAAGTTAATCTCAGGTTAAATTGGGAAAAATGTCATTTCATGGTCCGACAAGGAATTGTACTTGGACACATAGTGCCTGATAAAGGGATTGAAGTTGATAAAGCCAAAATAGAAGTTATATAAAACCTTTAACCTCTGAAAAGCATTAGAGAAATACGAAGTTTCATGGGACACGCCGGTTTCTACCGACGATTCATTAAAGATTTCTCTAAAATAACCAAACCATTAACTGACTTACTAATGAAAGACGTTGAATTCATCTTTGATGAAAAATTCTTAAAAGCGTTCGAACATTTAAAAATTTCTCTTGTTACCGCACCTATTATGCAGCCACCTGATTGAATTAGATCGTTTAAGATAATGTGTGACACTAGTGATTATGCAATAGGCGCAGTCTTAGGACAAAGAAAAGACAAAAAGCTTCATACAATTTATTACTCAAGTAGAACCTTAAAACATGCGCAAATGAACTACGTCACCACAGAAAAGGAACTCCTAGCTGTCGCGTCTGCATTAGATAAATTTTATCCTTACTTAGTAGGAGCAAAAATAATTGTCTATACCGATCACGCAACAATTAGGTACCCATTGAGTAAAAAGGATGCTAAACCAAGACTTTTAAGATTGATTCTTCTCCTACAAGAATTCGAATTAGAAATCAAAGATAAGAAAGGCATCGAAAATGTAGTAGTTGGTCATCTCTCTAGAATTGAGGACATGAAACCCGAACGAGTGCCTATCAATGATGATTTCCCTTATGATCGACTCATAGCCCAGTTAGCAAGCAATTCAGATTTAGACTAAAACCACATTACCATGGTACACTAACTATGTCAACTACTTAGCAGCTGGAGTACTTCCACTAGACTTGACTTACCAACAAAAGAAGAAATTCTTCCAAGATCTTAAACATTACTACTGGGATGAGCCTCTTCTTTTCAAGAGAGACACCAATAGTATCTTTCGTCGATGCATCCCCGAAGAAGAAGTAGATAACATAATATCTTATTGCCATTCTGTACCCTATGAAGGTCATGCAAGCACTTCAAAGACTTGTACAAAGATCTTACAATCTAGCCTTTTATGGCCTAATCTATGGAAAGATGTCCACACCGTATTTATACATTGTGATTGGTGCCAACACACTGGCAATATATCTAGACGCGACAAGATGCCATTGAAAGGTATCTTAGAAGTAGAAGTCTTTGATGTTTGGGGAATATATTTTATGGTCTCTTTTCCATCTTCTTTTGGTAACAAGTACATACTCGTTCCTGTTGATTATGTATCAAAGTGGGTTAAGGCTGTAGCCTCTCCTACAAATGATGTATGAGTAGTAATTAAGCTTTTTAAGAATATAATTTTTCCTAAATTAGGTGTGCCGAGACTTGTCATCTGCAACGGAGGCTCCCATTTCATCTTAAAAATCTTTGAAAGATTATTGCTAAAATATGGAGTCTGACACCAAGTGACAACACCTTACCACCCCCAAACGAGTGGGCAGGGTAGAAGTTTCCAATAGAGAAATTAAGAAAATATTAGAGAAACAGTTGCCATTTTAAGGAAAGACTGGTCTTCGAAGCTACATGAAGCTCTGTGGGCATATAAAACAGCTTACAAGACCCTGATAGGTACCACACCATTTAAGCTAGTTTATGGTAAATCATGTCATCTGCCGGTAGAATTAGAACATAAAACTTATTGGGTCGTTAAGACCCTTAAATGGAATTATAATGCCGCAGGCGAAAAGAGAATTCTATATATCCATGAATTAGAAGAACTTAGACTAGATACCTGATCAATGCATTTTGATGAACATTCTTCTATGTTTGTACTTAAGCATTTCTATGTTTTACTTTGTTTATTTTTATGTTTTATAATATTTTTCTATTTTATTTTATTTTTGGTTTAATTTGATTATCGTATTTAATTTTCAGCATTGGCAGCTTTCAATAAAAAATTTATAACTGGAGCTACATAAATTGGATTGAGGCATTCTAATATGCGTAAGCTAAGAGAAAGAGATACAACTTTTATGTTGGAGTCAGAAGCTAATTCAGACTGTAGCAGGCTTGAATAATTCGTTGAAGTTGCAGCATTAGAATAATTTGTTTTTTGGTCTTTTTAGTGGGTCTGGGTTATATTTTTGGCCCGGTTCGTTTTGTAAGTGGAAACTCTTATTCTATTTTATAAGTCTTGCAACCTCTAGTGAGGTCATTACACATTGTTCACGGAAATATTTTGCTTTGTACGCTTGCTATGGAGAACTAATTTCTAAAGGCAAATCCTGCTGCTTACGGATTCCATTGCTCTGAGGTTATTCTAATATCAATTTAAATTCGATTTCTGTTCAATTCTTCTCTATGAAATCATTTGTTTAATTGGATTGCAATGGTTTGCTTAATTCAATTGTTATTCATAGGATATAATTGATTAAATTCGATTGTATGCATGTTCATAAATTTAATTGTGTGTTATCGTTTGCTTAATTCGCTAACTCGTCATATTCTTAACCGTTTGCTTAATCCGGTAACAGGAACATAATTCGTATGATTTTGATAAGCGTTTGTCTGATTGATCTTATAATAATCTAATAGGATCGAAACCGTTTAGATATTGGTGTTATCATAACTAATGATAAGTCAGAACTCGAATCAGTAGGATTAGCCGTTTTAGTTTATTGAATAATCACTTATTTTAATTTGTTCTTATAATTCGACCCTAAAACCAAACCCCACAATTCGATTCCTATTAGTTAATAATAATACAAGAATCCTCGCGATACGATACTCGATTTGTCATTACCGTAACAACATTTAAAATTTACTCGTTTTTTATCTGTGTGCGACATCGAATTAAATTGGCGTCGTTGCTGGGGATTCTTGTTGTTATTAACCGATATTAGAGTCATAGGTTTATTATTCTTGCTAGTTTTTTTCTTGTTTTCTTTTGTTGTGTTTGTTGGTTTTCAGGGTTGTAATACAGGTTGCAGTACAGTGGTAAGTATTCCAGCCTACCAAGTAAGTTTGAAAGCTACTGTTTCGATTTGCTCCAAAAAAATTTTAGAAGTTCAGAAAAAAAACGAAGAAAAGTACTTCTTTAGAATAGAATTCTAGATAAGTTTGACTCTCAAAATCGCAAATTCCTCTTTTTTTCTATTTTTAATTATTTTTTACTGTTTTCATAGTGTCGAAAAAAATTCCAAAAAATTCTCAAAATTCTTATTTGTCTTAATTAGATGAAATTTCGAGAGGTACATCCTCTGAACACCAACCCCGAAGAAGGAATGATCGTGCAACTAACACTCTTGACGACATCCTTGATGAGCTAAGACAATGTAACAATTAGATGCCCAATGCTACCATCTGATTCGCGACATGCAAGCGCAATAGCTTGATATGATGACACATACTTAACAGCTTCAGCAACACCAGCATGACTATACTAGCAGGATAGAACAACGCCTATCAGGCTTGAGTACTGCGATGGGAGATATGAGAGTATGTGTGGAGGACTTGCAAGAATACATCTAGCATGTGGATATTCTGCCTCACCAGCCATGTCAAGATGGGCATGGACGAGCACGAGGCCGAGGCCACCAGTATCCGTCATTCTAGGTTTCCCGTTCTTTTTCCACCTTCGATCAAAACATTGGGGAAATTGTTTGGTTTAAGTGTGGGGGAGGAAATTTATTTGCTTTATTTTATTTGCTTTATTTACTGTTTTTCTTAGGCTAATTGTTTTCTCTTTAATTTGTTTATGGAGTCCTATTTACATGAAAATTTTCACCTGTTATTGAATTTCCCTTAGAATTGACCCCAACAAAATTTTCCATTTTAATTCATGGCACACACTTGAAAGTATGTAGGTTATTATACTTTAATATTGTTAGAAAAATGTGAAAATGTCTTAATAACATCGATACATTTATGACACCCTAAACCCCCCTCATTATGTGATATCAATTTGGGTATCCATTATGCTGAGATCTTAGGCTCAAGTTTTCAAAGTAGCTCTTAAGTAGTTTATATTATCACTTAGCACCATCTTAAGCACAAACTACGTAGGAAAGCTGGTGAAAATAAGTGAATGATCACAAATTAATTAATTGAAAGAAAACCAAGGGGATTTCTCCTTCTAAGTTAGGTGACCCTCACCCGGTCACTTAGCCCAACAACTATTAAACCTTTAAAAACACAATCATAACACCCATTGTTAGTTGGCACATTAGTCTCTGGTGTTAGACTTGGTAGGGCAGATTACAATTCAATCCTCCGCAACTACATTTGGGTAATAAAAGGGGTGCACCTCTTTAGCTACCTAAACCCCATGCTAATAAAGATCATAATCACTAACATGTTTCCTTACTATATGTGTGTACGGATAACGGGCTTAATGTGATTGCGCTTGAGTGGAAAAGAGTGAAAGAAAGCGAGAGATATAGGTTGAGTTATAATGGCATAATTCAAATTATACCGCATAAAGAGGGAGTTTTGAACATTGTGTCACTATGGTATCCTTGTTATTTATGCATAGTCCCAGTGTTTTGACATAGCCTAGTGACAGTATATGATTAGCGTTTTGTGTGTCTATGTTTTGAATTGCAATTATATTTTCTTTATCCGAGTTGGTTGATTGCTTGAGGACAAGCAACATTCTAAGTATGGGGGAGTTTGATAGCATGAAAACACATCATATTTTTAGACTCGTTTCACATATGATTTACCGTTATTTTGCTATGTTTCACTACTTTTATGTCTCGTTATGTTTGCATTTCAGATAATTGTGATTTATGGAGCATATGTGCTTAAAAAGAGGAAAAGGGAGCAAAGTGGTGAATAAAAGAAGAGAAATACAAGATTCTGGTGTGTGGCGTTCGCCATGGCCCAAATGGCGTCCGCCATCACACTAGCCACATCACCAGAGCCCACTAAAGCTCATGGCATTCGCCATGAGCATAATGGCGTCCGCCATTTGACCCCAGTAACAAACATGGGAATGCGGTGGACTCACTCCTTCCCACTTCACTATTTTTTTCTCTGACTTTGGCTGCACGTGAAGGAGGGAGTTAGACATCATTGTAACCCTATAAAATTCATATTTGTACCTAGTTTTAGGCATCCAGGATTAGAGGAGAAGCTCTATCGAATTGAAAGCTTAGTTTTACTATTTATACTCTTGGATCACAATTTTTCCGCCATAATTAAAGCAAATTCTAATTTCTTTATTTTTTGTTTTCACAGGTTTACATTTATCGGTTTATTATTATTGTTATTGTTAATTTTCATGTCGTTTTTAATCGCAACCGTCATGTTTTATGTGTTTTTAATTAATAGCATGTCTAGCTAAATAGTCTTGAGTCCTAAATGTGAGAACCTTTGTTTCCAACGGGACTCGGTAACGAAATTGGCTTAAACTTTATTAAAATCCTGTTTTGGTCTTTGTTTCTAAATTTAATTCAAACGGTTTGTGACGAGAGTGAGAATCAATTAAGGTTTGAACCGGAACTGCGAGAGTGTAGGGATCAAATTGGATAGTAGAAACATGGCATCGATCCTAAAGAGGGTGAGAGCGCTTTAGGTGTCGATTAGGACTTGTTCAGTTTTCAAAATACGTTCCTTAATTGAAATGGGTGAGCGAGAGCAAAATCTCATGGTTAAGGAACATGAATTTATTCAAAAGCGCGAGAGTGTGAGGTTTAGTCCTGAAATTAATATTTTCTACTAAATAAGGTTTTAACGTTAATATAAGTCAACAAGTTACATAGTCTCCGAGTTATGCGAAATACACATTCTGGCCTCTCTTTATTATCATATTTTATAATTCACTTTAGTTTTAGTTTTTATTTCAATTAATCAAAGAAATCATTCGCTTTAGCTTTACATCACAACACTTGATAACATTAGTTTGATTAGGTTCAATATCTTTTAAAACTACGCGATAGACTGTGCACTTAGAGTTAGTTAATTTGATAGACTTTTAAAGTAGCGATCACCTCATCCTCCAGTTTGAAGCTTCATTCAGCTTATGGTTGAGGTATACCAAAATGAAGGCCCCCATTTCCACTCATGAACTGTACTCAAATCCATAAAATGTCAGAGGTATGTCACATCCACGTAGGTTGCATTTTATCCACAAAGAGGGACGTGTCAACCAAGAACATGAAGTAACACTGCAAAGCACAATCTCAATGGTACTGAAAAAAGACCTCGTTGCCCTCATCCTCGTCCCCTGCTACTAAAACCAGGTGCTCTTTATATAAGTCACTCAAGGTGGAGAATTTTTCATGCGACCTATTAGTTGTTCTGCACTCTTCAGTCGCCTTAAATAGATCAACTCCCAGATACTCGACCATCCATTCAATCGCCTCAACTCATGGTATTTTGGAATGGTTAAGTAACCTTCCTCTGATGGGTAGGTGGAGCAAGCAAGACACCCCATCAATTGTGATCGTCGTATCCCCAATAGGAAAGTGGAAAGACGATGTCTCATTGTGCCATCTCTCGACAAATGCCCCCTGCATGTCGTGGCTTATAGTAACAAAACAAGTACCACATAGTCCGAAAAATCCAGATCCAACAACAACCTCATTGAACCAAGCCACCCTAGGTATAAATAATTCAAATATTTTTCGCGAGTAGTTCATGGACTTAATGGGCAAATGTTCTTGTAACAAAAAAATAATAACCATTAAAATAATATTTGTGAGTAAATCTTTAAAATAAAAAAGTGCAACCAAAAATATACCTCTTCATCCCAAATATGTCGAGCGGCATGATCATTATAGTAGATCAATAGGGAGGCATCAAAAGGCCCTCCTGGATAATGGAGGTTCGCCTGCTCGGGTACCTCAACCTGCTCAGATATATCAACCTCCTCGGATACCTTAATCTGCTCGGGTACCTCTTCCTCATCAGATACCTGCTCATGTGCACGAGAGGATGATGCTTGAGACAGGAAACTCCTTGGTTCAGAAGTGGAATCTCATGGCACTTCCTCCCGTTGTACCCGACCCCATCCTCGAGACTTGTTAACCTGCTGCTCAGCTCTTTCACGTCGAGCCAAGACAGTTTGGCTTAGCCTGCCTTGTCTCAATCAATTATTCGGGTCTTGGTTCTCTGCCATTTTCCTGAAAATGATAATTGTAAATATGTTGGTTTTAAAAAATAAACTCAGGCAAGAATTTACACGTGCACATTCGAAACTGGTCAAGAGGGTTTCAGATGTGTATATCCAAAACCACCTGCGAACAACCATTTTCAGAGAGCTTCTTCTTTTTTCTCTAAATCATCCAAAAACCTTATTTTAGCATCCAAACACCAACATTTAACTACTCTAACATCAACCTACATAATGTAATTGATTCTAACTAACCTAATAACCTATTATAGCATTGCAAAGTGAATCAAATGGAAATAGAGAAAACTTACACAAATTTGAAGCTTTGGAGATGAGTTGGAATGAGTTGAAATGAGTTTTTGAGTAGAAATGAGTTGAAATGAGTAGAAATTCCAAGTTTGAGTAGAAATTATGTGGGGGGTGGTTTTGAGTTTGTAAACAAATGGGATTTGAAGCGTGAAAATGGGTTTGTAAACAAATAACTTCGAATATGCACATCCAAAGTATTAAATTATGGGGTTGATTCAGATATGCAAATGCGAAGTCACCTTTTCTTAACAAAATAAAATGACTTCATATGCACATGCGAACCCACCTATTCTTGAAAAATACGGTAAATTCGGATATACACATCCGAAGTCTGGAGTATTTTGGGTTTTTCGTCGGGGACTTACAAGAAAATATAGAGGTGGAGAAAGAAATTCTCAATGATTATTAAAATCATCAACTCTGCTTCCGCTTTTGCTCCATTTTCTGATTAACAAGAAAATACTAACAACTTAGATGTAGAGCAGCTACAAAGTCATCTTAATTAGACATAAGACTTCTGGTCATAAGTTTTTGCTTGTGCTAGATGATATATGGAATGACGATCATGCAAAGTGGATTGAGTTAATAGATTTTATAAAAGTTGATGCAATAGGAAGTCAAATCACAGTGACAACACGTAGCAACTCAATTGCTTCAATGGTGGGTACGTTTCCCTCGTGTTTTAAAAGGTCTTTCTCAAGATGATTGTTTATCCTTGTTTGTCAAATGGGCACTTAAGAAAGGTGGAGTAGTTAAATGTTCAGATCTTGTAGAGATTGGAAAAGAAATTGTGAAAAAATGTGCAGGGGTTCCACTTGCTGTCAGAACATTAGGAAGCTCACTGTTCTTAAAATATGATTCAAAAAAGTGGATATCTCTGAGAGATTGTGAGATTTGGAACTTTGAACAAAAGAAAGGTGATATTTTTCCTGCACTAAAGTTAAGCTATGATCAAATGTCGTCCTATTTGAGGCAATGTTTTGCTTACTTTTCCCTTTATCTCAAAGATCATGACATCTCTATTGGTGAGATTACCCGTCTTTGGATAGCACTTGGATTAATACAATATCAGAATGGAATTGAGCAACTAATGGATATTTCCAGAGAATATATAGAAGAGTTAAAATCTAGATCATTTCTTCAAGATTTTGAAAACTTTGGCTTTGTTGTAACATTCAAAGTGCATGAATTGATTCATGATCTTGCTGTGTATGTTAGGAAAGAGGAATGTGTATATTGAATTGGATGGAGGTAACAATCAATATAATAACACCTATCATTATTGGTTTTTTTAATGGTTCGTAACCACATTACTAAAAAATGATTATTTGTTCGAACCGGTTTCAATTCTGTTCAGAATCGGATTTTAGAAAGAATGAGATAGTTTTTTAACTGAATTTTAAATTCATTTTCAGTCATGTGATTTTATGTTAGTGCAAAGCTTCAATTAAAACAATAATCCCTTATATGTACAAGATTTTATTTCTTTAAGAGTAAAATTTCCTTTATTTACAGGGCAAAGATGATGATGATAAGGTGAGAGTGGAAAATGGAGACACATACAAAGAATAATTCAAGTAGTTGATTGCCTTGGAGTAAATGAATGCCTGTAAGACTGAGATTCTCAAAATGTTTGATGTAGCCAAAGAATTGAAATTGATTATTTATATTTCCAGTACTCAAAGCATTTATGTCTGAAGTAGAATATGTGTTGAACTGCAGTATTTTTTATAATGTATATTGGATGAGCATTTATAATGTATTTGATACTAAGAATAAAGGAATTAAATCTTTTGTATTATTTCCTAGGTGATTGCTTTAGGTCATATAGAGATTTCTTTAGTAGACATATTTAATTTTCCTTGCTATTGACCTGAAAACCTTTTGGCTATTTCATGAAGATTTCTTCTTTCAATTTACTATGTAAAAAAACTGTTTTAACATCTATTTGTTCCAAATGCATGTTGACTTATCATGGTGTTGGAGCGTTATAGCGGCAAGTAATAAAAATTTTGGAAATATTTATCCGGAAATTTATCGTGTCCATAGAGATTGATTATTGAATTGATGTTCGATAAATTATTTGTTAATGAGTTTGGAGATTAAATGGGTTTATTTGTAAGGAAAGGATAAAAACTATTGACAAGAAAATAAATATATTAAATAGAAAGGAGAAACCTATCAAGCATTAATTTACACTACTCGTCACAAACTTAAACCTATTGATCAGTTGCACTCAACCTATTGTACTCGTCAAAATCATCACGGACACCACGAGATGTACCCACAAGGAAGGTTATGTCTAACGCCAAGTCGCGAGACCAACCATATTACTCTATCGACAATATCTTGCGCGCTACAATAACACAGAGGCATTAAACTTTAGCACCCAAAGTGAGTATTAGCTCTAAATCTATCTCTAGAATCTAGAAACTAATAGATATTCATCCTTAATCAGGATTTGTGAGGTATATGTCTATAACAATCCAAATCCAAACATAAAGCAAAAAGATCAAATAAGACATCAAGATTGATTTGTAAAGCAAGATTTATACAACATCATGATCAACAAATATACATATGTTCAAAGTAAATATACAAACATACCCAACAAATAGAGAAATACATAGAGAAGAAATGGAGAAAAACCAAACATCTCACGGATTGTCAGTGCTGATTGATGAAAAATCCGACTCTGAATCATCAAGATGCAAACTCCAATGTTGTTTCATAGCTTCTCAAGACCAAAAACGGAGGTTTGATGAATTGGGGCCAAAAATACCCAAAACATAACCTAAAAAATGTGTTTTTGGCCCTAAATACGCATTTCTGACTGTCCAGGATCGCCCGGAGACCAAAAAGCATCGCCCGGCGATAGCTGACAATAAGTTGAAAAACCAGCACAACATTCTGCACTGTTTCGGTCATAACTTTTGAACCGTAACTTCGATTCGCGCCCGGTTCGAAGCATTGGAAAGATTTTCAATGATCTTTCTAAAAATGACAAAATATAAACCAAATTGATTATTTTTTATTCTTTGATTTTGAGCCTTATTCATTGACGAATTACTCAAAATCGCGCGTTTGAAGTCGTGTCTTCGACACTTTATTGCTCATGCTCCAAATACGCATCAATACCTACAAAATGAATGGAAAAACATAAAATGTTACCCTATGTATACAAAAACATAAATAAACACAAACTAAATGTATTTACATAAAAGTCGGGTTTATTCAACGATATTAACAACAAAAAATCGATAAGTGCAACAAAAAGTATATACAAAAATAGCTACAATTTGCACTTATCAAACTCTCCCAAACTTGAACTATTATTTATCCTCAAACAAAGATCAAATAACTCAAAGAACAAAGAATGATAAATCAAAGAATCACGAATCAACAAGTTTTGAAAACAGAAAACAAATGCAATGGTTCAAATGAAAAACAGTACACACAAAGTAAACACTTACCACTAAACTACGACTATAACATAAACACGAAATAAATGCTAAATACAAAAATTATATCAAACATTCTAAAACAATACTTGGTCACAAATGAATCACACCTAGCAAACAAAATCATCGGTAGATGAAAAACATACAAAAATGACATATTTTCACTCATCCAACAATCTTGCAAATAATAGACTAGATTATGCATTCATCTAAAAATTTACATTGAAAATATTAAAGCAAGAATCCCAAGGGCTTTTTAAGGTTGTAATGTGGCTTGGTTAACAAACAAGTGATAAGTCCTAAAGTTAATTGAAACAAAAACTTGCCTAAACCTAAGGGAGTAATTACTTCCACAAAGTTTCAAACAATAGAATTTCAATCAAACTTCTTCTTCATCCCAAATTTCAAACTAACACATATCACTTATTCAACACAATATTATTCCATAATGTAATACGGTGGGAGAACTGATTGCGTTTTATCGCAAATGCCGCGGTTAGCAAGAGTCGCCACCGACTTTTCTTTTATCCAATAAAGGAAAGGGTGAAAAGAATAGGAAAGACCTTTCGAGATATTTTCTTGAGTTTGGGGGGTAGGTTATGAAAAGGGAAGGTGTTAGCACTATTTTTTTGTAGTTATCTACAGGCTCTTAGTTGCTTGATCACTTTGAAAATTCTTTGTTTGAAATGTGTTTTTGATTGGTGTAAGTTTGAAAATATTTTGAAAACTCCTTTTTTATTGCAAACTTTGTAATGATTCTCTTCTCTATAAGAATGCATACAAAGTGTTGGTTTTGAAAATAGTTCAAATATATGTTTGTTTTTGAAGATGTTTTGAAAGTGTGAGTGTGAAAATGGTTTTTAGTTTGGTGAGCAAGCAACTATGAGCGTCCTACCTACTCAAAAGGTCTTTGTTCTTTTCCTCCTCCTTTAGATATTTCTACCTTACCATTCATTGATAAGAAGCCCTATCTTTGGATGTGAAGGGACAAGTGCGGGTCAATCGTATAGTCATAGAAGGCAACTTATGAGACATTTTAGCAATTTTCATAAGGGACTAGATTGTTTATCAAAGGTAACATTGAGGGACATCGAGGGACTACGATCTTTTTTATCGAGGGTCTTTGCTAAAACGTCCATATTCGAGGGACGTGATTATTTTCCGAGGCAACAAGCGAGGTTACCCTAGAGGTGCACGTGTGAATAGTGTGTTTGATTGCATGCATTATCTTTGAGATTAGGGTTTTCTAATGGTTGATTTTATTTTTCCATACACACCCTAATTACTAACAATTATATAAAAAGTGATAAATTTACAGAAATTAAAATCCTACGCTATTACATCATTAGGGGAGTGGGGGTACAATTTACAAATGGGGATGAAGTAGATGTCTAATTATTACAACCATATCGAATAGCTGGATAGTAATGAAGAAAATCTGTGAAAAATGTAAAGGCAGTGTAAAAAGAAAGAAAAATTGCATTTTGAACTATTATGTGTCGACACAATGCTGCTATGCATCGACACACAACTCTTCTTGCTCCTGTAAAACAAAGTCAACTCAGTATGAGTCGATGCATAATGGGATGTGTCGACTCATGCACCTGTTTGTGTCGACACATACGCATTTTGTGTCGACTCATGCACCTTCCATCCTTCTATTTTGGGGCCTGGATAACAGTATGAGTCGATGCATAAGGCCATGTGTCGACTCATACCCTATTTTATCACTAAAATGAGTCGACTCATGTGAGTATGTGTGGACTCATGCTGCTGTTTTTTAGTTCCAACATTATTTTATGGTCTGTACAAGTCAGTTCACAGCATATGATTGATAAAAATGAACAGCAAGCAAATTGTTAGCTTCAAGGGTAATGATTACTACATCTTATCTTCAAAAATGAATCATTAGTGATGTATGAAAAATGCAAAGTCAAGAAGGCTTACCTTAAGACTGCACTTGGTGATTTGAGTCTAAATACTTTTCAAGATGTTGTATGAACTTCAACGAATCTTCAGGGAGCTGTTCCAAGATGTTGAATCACACCAACTCAGTCAAGTTGTACAGTACTATTTTTGTGTTTGGAAGGTGAAGATAATGGCACTACAGAAATTGTTCTTATGTTTGAACAATCTCTATGTGATGTAAAGTGTTAGGCTGGTTGGTTTATGGGAAGATTTGCAAGATGAAATAATGGGTTGAGGTTCTATTTTGGTGAATGAAAATAGGGATGAGTATGAGCAAGGGTCTTTTGTGAATAAGTAGAGTTTACAAAGAATGCTGTTTTTTTCTCTTCTCTCTTCCCTCTCTAAAAACCAACCCTTTGTGTGTTGTGAAAACAGTCTATTTATAGATGGACTTAACTGAGATTTAGGAGGGAAACAAATAAGTTTTTGAAATATTTGGGTATACTGTTCCATTGCTTTTTGATGCAGCTCTTATGTGCTAATTCTGTGCAAATATGGGGCTGAGATAATGCAGGCTTGGATTGGGTTAGTGGTAGCATAGCAGGACTGTTTTGCAGTAGTTTTGGAGTGTTGTGGAAGCTTGGTGCAGGGTTATTTTATAGAAGTACAGCAAACTGTTTTTGACATGGTTTTGGGCTTTTTTGGACAGTAACATTTGTATCATGATACAAGTTTGTTTTATGGATAGCATAGTGGCAAAGTTTGGACATTGAGTCAAAGGGAAAAATTCAAACAAGACAAAGCTTAGGGTTTGTAATCTTGCAAAAATGCAACCTTGGAATAACTTGAATTATTTGTAACACCTTGAATT